ACAAAATTGCGAAATTGTGTGTTTTTGTAAAATATCACTACATGTTGCGTTAGTCTCGTCGTTGTTCTACATCTTAGTTGAAGGAATTAAATCTCTATTCTTTGGGCAGTTTGGCACCTACAAATAAACACAAATGGGTCACAACGCATGATTTACAATCAATCGTTTCTGTTTTTACTGTAATTTCTAATCACTTATGTTCGGCGAAATGCGAAGATTCTAAATTGAATGGCAGTCTTTGGCGTCTGGTTAATCTAGTCTACACCGATAGTATTCTCTTGTGGGATATGTTTAGCCTCGTTCATCAAGTCGCTTCATTACAAATGGGTTAGAGGAAATGGGTCCTTTTGATTCGACCCACCCCTCCCTGGTACTTGTTCCACGTCGTTCGTCAAAAAAGAAAAAAAAAGAAATAAGAAAAAAAAATCTGGGATTTGCAATGGTTCTGTGGTATCAATTATGTGCTAACGGTCGTTTCTATAGCTGGCCAGTTGATTATCCTCACATATATACAACCTTAATACACTCTACAGTATAGTATATATATATATATATATAGGCAGGTCAATAACAGATTATATACGGTAATACATTGTGTATTCAAATTCAGTTTTTCACTTGGTTAAGCCTTTTCTTATAAGAGACATAAACCTTTTATATATATAGTATGCAATCAAAGCCCGTGTAGTCGATGTTATATTAAAAGTGTCAAATTACAAAATACATCAGCAGATGTCAATATAGCAGGATTCGAAATGCCAAACTGTAGGGTGTTTTTTTATGGAAGGGTATCGCTGCCAATATTAAATGCTCTGCTACAATGTCTTTTCCATTGATGATATGTAAAAAGTACAATGTACAAAGTCCTAATACCGGTAATGATTAAGTCAAAATACCTCTAAGGCAAGAGTTAAAGGTAAACGTCAAATGTTAAGTGTTAAATGACAAATGTTTGGGAAAATGCTTTTTTTGACGTGTCTACATTTTACATTCCTCTTATTACATTTTACACTCTGCCACATCCCATTTGTCCTTCACGCTTTCGACATAGCATGTTTTGCACAGCACCTACTTTCATATGCGGGTAGGGGGGTCTGAGGGGGTTTTCTCCCCAGAAAATTTTTGAAATTTGACAACGGGAAACGCGTTTTGCAAGCACTTCTGGGAGAAATCTAGGTATCATATTTTCCGATTTATGCTGCTATTTTGACTATAAGACATACTACTGTACTACACAAGACACTCGTGACAGGTCTGCTTAAACATGCATTATGCAAGAGCTAAATCTGATTATTGCAAGTCTTAATTTAGGCTTCAGATGTTATAGAAATTATAAATTAGATCTTTATTTAAACAAGACCAAAATCAACTCTGTAGACCCACGGATGGCTCGGCTACAGCTCGGATTTAAATAGGATTTCACTAATTGATTAAATCAAATAAGGGGTAACCTGATGAAAATACGTCAGTTAGATCGAGGCTAAATGACAGAGTGTACTTAGCGAGGCCGCTGTAAAGGGTTTCCGTATGCCATTGAAAACTTTACTTGATAATCGAGATATGTAGGTGGAGTTAACGCCTGTCAATCAAACGATCGGCGAAGGTGAAGACACATTTCGCTACCATCTCTAGGCAAATATTACAACGATGATAACTATGTTCAGAATAAAGTAATTTGACTGAATTTTTCAATATATTTTTCTTTCATCATCTACTTTTGAAATGTTATAGCAAGAATGGCCAACTCTCTATAAAAATCTCCCATAATGTATCTTTAATATAATAATGCTAATACAATGTATTTCTATCCAAATAATAAATTGCATCTTATACACTCTCAATTTTTTGAGGGGATTCCGCGTGAAAATTAGAGCTCTCAGGGGGCCCGCTTATACGGGTGGACTTATTGTTTAATGGGGGTCTGGGAGGACACCGCCCTCCTAAACTCCCTGCCAGCTCGCCCCTGCCATAGATTATTCCCGCCAGGCTAAATACAGACACACCAGACCGAACGAATAACTGGTCAGTCCTGTTCTAGCGTGATATAGGATAAATCATGTCTTACTAACCAAAATATCATTTCAGAACGTCTTAGCAACAAATGCGGGCAACCCGTATCATTGTCAAGATTTACTAGTTAATGATCCATTGCCTTCTGGTCTGATTAAAATCAAATGTCAACTTCGTTACGTTTTAATTCTGATATTGCACTACAGGACAATAAACCGAAACGAATTCAAGGACCATATACATGTTTTTTTTTATTAATTCTAATTCGTTTGTCACGATTCATGTTTGTTTATAGGCTAATAATGCATGAAGTATGCGATTTATTTCGGGAAGGGGCGCAGCTCTTACTTGATTTTAGCTTAAAAGTTTATTTCCCCGTGCTTAACTGGGAGTTTGGTTTTTAAGTGGTTGATTATCCAGTAAATTTCCCCAAATGTTGACAACTGACCCAGACCCTCCCAACGTTCAAGATTATGAGGTTCTGGGTGACCGAGACTACTCTTTTCAGAAATCTGATACCCTTGACTGCGTTATTCGACATTAACCCAGAAAGCTAATGCAATGAATGACACAATCACAACGTCCGGTGGCTTATTATAATTATTCATTAATTGCTTTTCGGCAGTATTTTTAACCATTTGTTACCTGGCGGTCCCAGCTCACCAGTCATTTTCCAGATGCCCTTATGGCCAGTCCGCCCTGTAAGTCTGAAGATCTATATCGAATTTTGTATATATCTAATCTAAACGCCTCTTGTATAATATCTGCATTATTAGATCGAAACAAAATTTGTACATAGCGGCAAAAAACTTCAAGGTGTCAAGGCCATATATAAATATATAGAGAATCTGGCCAACTGTTGCCTCAATTGTGATTAGGTAACGAAATGGCTTTTTTTTTGTCTTCAGTGACCCTTGTTATTTTATAATTGTTTTGATGTATTGTTTAACTATTAAACTTACAGATTGGGTGACGAAATGGCGAACATGATCGGAGTTGGACACACTCTGTTTATATAAATATGGGACTGCAAGAAGTTAATGCTTCTTTAAAATATAATTTCAGATCGGTGTGCTCGACAGTCGTTTTTGCGGTCAAGGTAAAGGTACCATGGAAAGCGAACATGGATCTAATGGACAAATGAGCTTAAAGGAGCTAAATCGCTAACATTTGGGACCTAGAAATTGACACAAGTGGGTCGGAACTCATATAATACTGTAATATGAATGCATATAAACTGATATACATTCAATGGTTTCCGTTTTTACTCTAATTGCAAATCAGTTATGTTCCGCGAAATAAGCCAGCAGTCTCAATCGAATGCAAATTTCTAGCGCCTGGTTATTCCAGTCTACAAAGGCCGTTTGGTTTGGTGCAATATGTCTAGCCTCGTTCCTCGAGTCTCTTGCTAGAACTGGGGCTCAAACGCATTATGGTACACGATTCGTGTACCAATGGTAAAATGTTTATTTTGTCTTAAATTTTGGATATCAGAAGCCCATCTTTTTCCGGTAAGATCACAGCATCAATGTTGATTTAAATTGACAAATAATTTGTTTTTTCAATGTTGAAGATTTTGGATGATATTGAGTTAGAGACTTAGCTACTTTAACTGCTAGCTAAATAAAGCATTAAGAACGTGCATGGAAAAGGGAAAATATCTGGCTTTAATACGCTAGACGTGGACTAATTCAGAGCGGAGTGGAATTTGTACTCAAGACAGAAGCTTTTTGACATTTTGATTAGCCCTCCCCCGCTTTACGGGGATCACGTGGCTAAGTGGGTAAGGCGCTAGCTCGCTAGCCTGGAGGTCGGGTGTTCGATCCCTGCATTGGCCGAGAAAGTTCATCCAGATTTTCCGGTGTGGTTCTCCCTTGTCAGTGATGCAGGACGGAGGGGCTGACAAGGAAAGCTGTCTAGTCATTCAGATGGGACGAAAAACCGAGGTCTCGTGTACACATTGGCGTGCACGTAAAAGATCCCTTGGCAGTTGGAATTCGATATAAGAGTAGGCCGTAGTGCCGCTGCCCGGGCAAAATTTCCCTCATAGCACACTGTATGGCGTATGCCCGTCTTCATTAGCCCAGGTTAGGAGCAGAACAGTAGGACGTTAAACTCCATTTCATTTCATTTCATTTCCCCCGCTTTACGTCATGGTAAAGGCTTTTCCGTTGACCACAGCACTTTACATTCTGTGCGGTTTCCATGCACTATAGTTTTGTTATACCGTTGGTCAGGATTCTTTATTAAAGAAGCCAGATTTAGTTACTATCTATCCCACATAAACAGAACTTGACAGACAGTGCTATCAATTAGAAAAGCAGCAAACATATACTGGGGAGAACATCTCCTGATGAGACACTTGAGAAGCAACGCATTGGTCAATGAAATAGCAACCAATGTGAGATTAGAGCAGCACTAGCTATGACACCAGCACAGAACCTAATGTACATGTATAACCAGATTACCAGATGTGACACCTAATGGAACATTGCCCAACCGGACACCAGAACATGGCAGAGCCCTCTGTACAACGAGAGGGTTAGCATATTTGACAGTACCAGATGTGACTGACACTAGAGCAGCACCAACTGTATAGCTAGCATTAGCTGCAGCAAACTCATCCTACAACCACAGTTAGACAGGGATAAGTAAATTTCCCCAACTTTCCATAGAATGTAATGATAAATTCTCCAGACAACATGAAATGGAAAGACCAGTAAATCACCCAAGACTCCATAGTATGTAGTCTCAAATAAGGCTCCGTTGGATTTAGGCACAAGTAATTGACCCAAGAATGCATGGTATGTAGACAAAAAAAGTACATTACCCAAGACTCAATGGGACTTCGTCACAAGTACATTACCCAAGACTCCAGAGGATTTAGTCACAATTGCATTGCCCAAGAATTACCCAATACTTCTTAGAATTTAGGCACAAGTATATACCCAAGACTCCATGGTATGTATAAAGAAAAGACAAAAGATATATGATAGATATATTATTATTAACACAGAATCTCAACATAAACAAACAGAACATCATATTATATCATATTTTATACATCCATTAAATTTCAACAATATCTTATGTATTGTCAGTCAGCATTTGACTATTTATAAAATTAGTCTTCATCATTGTCATAAGGGGCCGAGTTCTAGGGTACCTCTTCATGAAGACTTAGACCTCTTTGTGTTTTGTTCTGCAGTTACTCTGCAATCAATTGTAACCCAAAATCATGATTGTTAAAAAATTACTATGGTAACAAAATGTTGATTAAAAGTTACAACCAACTATTAAGGATTTAAGTCTTCAATGAATAAGGTCTCTATTGTGCGTTTAACCCTTGTTGGAGATTAAAATTGTGACTTTTTAAGCTTGGCTTAACTGATATGTGTTACATGATGGCCCTTAATTATAATATGTATTACAATGCCCATGCCTGAGATATCAACCTTGGTGGAAACAGACATCCATGGGATTGAATGTGACAGCATACAATTAAAGCATTGATCATGACACACAGTCCCATTTGCTTCTCCTGAACATTTGGCTCTGTTACTAAGAGTGAATGCAAAAGGATAGCAATGAGGATCACAGGGGGCTGCGGTATCCCTCTTGGACACTAAAAGAGGTAATGCACAAAAAGACTAACAGCATATTTATTTTGTTTACACAAGCAACATTTAATTTTAAACTCCAATTTGGGTTCTAACAACAAACAGAAATGCAGCCCCAAGAGATAAAATATACATGTATATATATATTTAAGCATTTTTAACAAAACCACAAAATGAAATGAAAACATAATATAATGATATCATTAACAAGCATAACCATCAAGCATAACATTTATTCTACATTCTCAGCTCAATAACTTGATTAACTTATTTTTTTAACATTTATATTCTCGTTTAATAATTTTTTAAAGACTGAGCTTGATTTGAGCGACATAGGAATCCCTTCCAAACTGCAATATTGTAAAAGTTGAATCTCTAATTATCGGTAATAGGAATATCAGTCTAAAAATAGTTCAATTTTGTTCAGTATTAACAAAAAAATGATCAATTGAAATACCATGATCTAGGCTGCTCCCTATGTAAATGTTTTACTGCTATCTTTATGATGGGCTGGATCCATGCAGGGAGATTATCTACCGTTGATAGTTTGATTTTGTTTTCTTAATAATCAATCTGAGTACATATTAGCTGAGCCTGGACCAAGCCATGTGAAATTTGATATTTTCCAAAAAATGCAAATCACACACAGTTACTTTAAGAAATAGATAAAAGTTGGTCAGTGTAAAAAAGCCTTTATGACCTAAACCACCATATAGGCTCCAGAACAATGTAATTTGACTGTGGACCTTAGAAATTCATGGTTTGGGGATAAGGATACGATAATCCAGTAATAAAAATATAAAGAAGACTTTTTACAACAACCAATAAGGAGTTGAAGTAACTCTTCTGTTTTTTTGGGGTTTTTTTTACATTTAATTTAATTCGATTTTAACCAGCAAATTTTCACATAAAAATATTTCTTTAAGCCATAATCAATAACTCATTGTAAGTAAGCATTGATAATGTTGTATTATAATATGGAATAAAAGGTTAAGGTCAACAAAAATTGTTAGGTATGTGACTTTAATACCATGAGAAACTAAAAGCAACAATTTCTTCTTTTTCTTACATGAAACCAGTAATATTATTATACAGTAAAGTAAATGAGAAGTGGTATGAGGTGTTCTAGAAGGAGTAAGCCCTAACTTAAACTGAATCCAATTCTCAACAGATTGATATCAGTTTTTCTGAAATTAAGGGTGGCTGGGTGGGGTGTAAACCAAATAATCTTTAGAATGGAAATGAGTGTTAAAGTCTAGGTACAAGTTATTTGTGTGGGAGTCCACTGATACAAACCCTGGTCATTTTGGGACTGAACAAACTTGGAATCAAAGCCACAAAATTCAAATCGATGAACGAAAGTGGGTTCAACCACCCTTCTATGTATTTTGAACAAGAATATTTGAATGCTTGGTATAGTATTTTGTCCTTTCTAACCTACATGAAGAGATGAAGTAAGCCTTTTGGTGCTATTTTTAACTTAATGCCATAAATACTTGATCCCTCCCTGCTAATGAGGATTTACTCACTAATACTACCTGGATAATTCAGTATAAAAATAATCTACATACATTCATGTCTCAGGTCAAGTTAATTTAGCTTAAAATGACAAATGAAATGAAATGGGGTTTAACATCACTGTAGTTGTAGGATGAAGTCCTAACAAGTTAAACCAGGCTTGAAAAATCCCAAGGTTCTTCTTGGCCCACACAAAGATCCGAATTCTGGAATCCTAATGCCATAATGGCTTGACAACTGCTACATAGGTATTTAAATTTTTTTTCTAAAAAACTGACTGAATGTGTAAAAAAACCTTGGCAAAAGCTAAAAGAAAAATACCAACCAGGAACATTAATGGCTTAGTGGTGAGCAATTTTCTGACAGTTATGAGGTGTGGGCGACAGGTTTAAAGATCTATTGAAGGCAAAAGACTAAAGGAGAAAATGGATTTTGTTACAGATAACTAGCTGTAAGATGAGTAACCTGCTCAAATAAGTAACTGGAGGTCAAGGTATGATGGAAGAGCCATGATATACGAAGTGTGAAATATGTGATAACTCATGGTCAATATCTATCTATCTCAAGTTGCCAAGAAAATCTGGATAAGATAATAGAAGAGAGAGAAGAAATGGAGTTTTACTCCTCCTAGAACACACAATATGTTTATATAAGTTTTGTTGTGTAAAACACAATGAATACAGCTAAATTTACAGTTCTAATGTGTAAAAACCCTTAAAATTTAATTCATAAAAAGAGATTAAGAAAAATGTCTAATGAGCTACATACATAAAACAACTGACTGGTTTGTAAATTATTGAAAGATAATCTTGATATAGACTATATATTGTAAAGATAGTGTACAGAGGCTATAAAGATTAAAGGCACTGTACCCAACATATACATGTATACTTTAACATGTTATATAGCATTTAATAACAAGCAGTTGACAACAGGTCATACCTTAAACAGTGAACACTGGCTAAACTGATAGTCCAATAAACCAATACTGGCTAAACTGACAGTCTAATATATCTACACTGGTTAAACTGACAGTCTAATAAACCAACATTGGGTAAACTGACAGTCCATTAAACAAAGATGTTTAATTTAACATTAATATTCAGAGAATTGATAGTGTCACTGGGATTATGATGCATAAACAAACATGTACTTATTTTGTCAGTTAAGCCATGGTTCACTGAATATTAATCAAAAATACAACTTAAAGAGCTATTATGACTTTAATATAATTTCTGGGTCCGGGACAATACCCCCTCCCCCACTTTGTTTTAAATGTTGATAGCATGATGCGAATGCTCATGGTAAACTATGCAGCTGAAAGTAGAATAATCGTGCCGTGTTGGTTGTATATAAGACATAAGATGAGTTATAGTCTATGGCCCCATCATTGCACAACTGTTTAGCTGACCTAGAGCTTTTGTTTTGTTTTTTGTAAATATAAATATATGTAATCATTGTTAAGTGGGGCCTCAAGTAATGAATATATCCCTCAAAAATGATAATCATGACAGCTCTTTAAATCTATTCAGGTCAGGGTTGTGACGATAAAAGGTGGAAGTCTGTATTGTGTTGTACAATGACAAACAGTTTCTTTATTTCCAATGGTATACGTCATATCCACACAACCCTTTATTGAGGTAAATTGGAATTTATACGTTATTTTCTTTTTATAATCAGCAGTATACTATACTACAATACATGTATATATATTTATCTAAATCAATGAGTTTTATAATAGTAACGAATATAGAACCATATATTGCAGCAATTTCATTGAATTACTTTAACATTAAAATTTATAACTATTTCATTTACACTTCAAAATAGGAATAAATTACTGAATTTGGTCTTTATTCAAAAAATCTATAACAAAAATATTTTCTGGATACTGTGTTTTCACTGATTAAGGGCCCAAATAAGTATGAATCCCAATGTAGTATTTTCAAAATATAGGCTATTTCATAGATTATGCCCCATTTTAAATTGTAAAAATATGTACCCAGGAAATTAGTTATAGAATAGTTTTAATTGTGAAAATATTAACTCCTATTAAAATGGAAATAGTACGTGTTTGTTATGAGGTATAATCTTTAACCTGGGAAATATATGAACTGATTACTACAGTGTTTTTATTTTATTACTATAGCACTATATTGATGGTTTAAACCTCTTTGATTTTAGTCAAAATAACCAATTGAACATACATGTATCGTGTTGAATTGGGATAATTAATATATTATTTCAATTAGAAGTGAACCTAGATCTATTATAATTTGATTTCAATTACAATTCAAACTAGGTATATCATCATTTGATTTCAATCAGAAGTGAAACTAGATCTATTATAATTTGATTTCAATTAGAAGTGAAACTAGATCTATCATAATTTTATTTCAATTAGAAGTGAAACTAGATCTATTATAATTTGATTAAATCAAAAGATTAAGCAGATGTTGGTTTTGTTTACTAATTCAGTTTTACCATAAACTGTCATATCTGCAGTCCTAAAATGTAGGAAGTCTCCCAGCTAATCAACACATAAATTTTCATTAAGATGACCCTTATTTTTGTCCAAAATCAAAGAGGTCAAAGCCTTTTTGTGCAAAAGGGAGCCCCGAGAAAGAAAATTAAAAAAAAATCAGCACTACATTATTTCAATAAAACATACATATAAATAAAATTACAGCACTATAACAACTTAAAATAATATAATCCTACTGTTCCTAAAGAGTTGTACACACAGCATTAACATTAGCTAAGTGCTGCTTGTGCAGTGCGTACCACCCCAAGTCTGAGAAAACATTTTTTAACAGGAAAATTTAACAACTTATTTTATTTTTTTAAAATTAAACTAAAAACTGCTAAAAATAACGAAAAGAAAAGTCTGATAGCCAAACAGATATATATCACAGGCAATACGTCTTCGCACATACACTATACGTACACAATTACACGCACGCACACACACTCATATACTGGTCATGGAGAACATATGTATGATACAAAGAGATCAACATAATAAACAATCATATTATGTAATGTTAAAGGGAAAAGTTACTCAGGTCCAGCAATTTTGTTAATAAACTTTTATGAGCATCTTAACTTGTTTCAATATCCTAAATATTGAATTTACTTATGTACATGTATGTGTTCTTGAAACAAACCTTATCTGATCAGAAATCTACTTTTGCAAAATTAAACCTTATCTGATCAGAAATCTACTTTTGTAAAATTAAACCTTATCGGATCAGAAATCTACTTTTGTAAAATTTCTGTAACTCATGTACATGTATGCCAAAAATAATAACCAGCAATCACATGTGTAATTGCTACATGTTGGTCATCCGTCTCACTGCAAATATATTCTAAATTTCATTTTTCAATAAAATTCAAATTTATGAAATCTGGACACCGATATATGTCTCAAATAAAAAATGGATGTGTGTAACATTCCCCTTTAATATACAGTAAGTAGGCATGTCTATTTCATGAATGATTATTATTTACACTATCTGTACATCAATAACAAGAAGATATAACGGGTGAATATTGTGCCGATATGTACAGCTACATGAAATACATTAATAACATTATAATATTTACATTTACCTACACATTTTTTTATCTTGTCAATTCTCCTAAGTCCACTACTGCCCTTAGATGTCATTAGTAAGGTCATGCACCTCTTAATCAGTTATCTGATTTGGAATTAGCCTAATATCTAAATTTATACATACAGCTTATGCAAGAAAATGTTTGGCCATGTGAAATTAAGTTAGCCCTAAATCTGACCTAGACATGGCCAAACAGTTTCTTGCTAAAGATTCAATTACTAAGGTAACAAACCTCTTTATCAATTATATCTAAAATTAGCTTACAATCTAAACATATAATACACAGTTTCTGCAAAAAAAAATGTTTGGCCATGTCTAAAACACATTGAAGGCCAGATTAATGACAATGTCTCATTGTGACTCAGACATGTGCCTATAGGAGAAAAGTTACCGACCAATCACAATTGAGAAATTAAGTTAGCCCTAAGTTTGACCTAGACATGGACAGTTTCTTGCCTATTTCATAAACTGTTGTATTATTATAGGCTAATTCATATAGAACAACTGTTTCAATGAGGGTAATGATTGCCAAGAGTGGTTACCAAACCTTGTTATTTGATTGGCACCAGACTGCAGGAGATTGTTAGCATTGTAGTCACCATCGTCCAGTAATATGACAATCAGGATTCCATGTTCACCCAAGGAACATATTGTAATAGTTGACCAAGGAAAAGGACAAGATGATACAGTTTATGTTACAATCTACTTGAAATTCAAAACATAAAAACCAGCTTTGATTTTAATCACACCAAAAATAAATCTATAAACAACTTTCTATAACAGTGTGAATAAACAAACAATTGTTTTATACATGATACAGGGAAAGACGGCATACTTTAAAGTGTTCATTGAATAAAATTATGTTTCTTATAAAATCTGGGTTTGGATTCAGCACATGTCGAATAATATCCAGCAAAAAACATCAATTTAGAAGGTCTAATCCAAATTCATGTAAGGTGTGTGTGGTGCTTTTCACATTATGAAGCACCCCTTTCACAAAATGATTGCAACTTAAACATTATGATTTTTAGAAAGTAGGAGGGGCTTTATCACTACTATTTAAACTGAAACAGGTTCTGGATATGAATAGAATGATTTAATAACTTGAAATGAATCTTCGACCGGGCCTGTTGCCACTAATGTAATTATTTCAATGCATTGAAATCCCCCGAAAATAATAAACAAATCTCGAATGTTTGCATTCGTCATTTAAACACAAGCGTTGGAAAAGTAGAGATTAAATAGAAGGATCTACAAATTTTTGAAATGACATTAAAAATATGAATTCTTTCCAAGTCTAAGTATACACTTGCTCATGCATCACTAATGAAAGGACCCCTATGTTCAAGTGAATAATTGAAAAAAATTGTACCGCAGGTTAGTGCCCAAAATGACCTAGTCTGTGTTGAGTAGAATTAACCCAATTTCTCTCTCATTAATGATAGCCGAACAGATTAATCAGTTTTAAAGGGCTGCAAGTTGATTTTAGTAGCTTATCACATAATCTGAGGATCACCTTCTTCATGGAATTCATAACTTTAATTACATGTACATGTAAAGAATGATAGTAATTAAAATAAAAGGTGATTACTTTTAGTGCACTTTGGTTAAATGTTTATATCAGACAACAAGCTCCAGCTATAATGAGGATGTACAAAAAAACATAATTTTAATACATGTACAATCTTCAGGGATTAAAAGGATACTATTTATAGTACATGTAAGATTGTTCTATTCATGCTAATTTGTTTTTAATGACAATATTTGTCAGCTATTCAAAGACTTCTTTGTCTCCCATCAAACCCTTTTCCAATAAACAAAATATCAGGTTTCACTCTTTTGTACGATTTCACAGACGGTCTTCAATTATTAGCCCTTAATTACAAAGGGCTCTTCTTTTTGACCTATATATGCCAGTAATCAGGGAGGGTAAACTTCAATGAAATTGACCAGTTCACAAATTTATTTTTCAGTTGCCCATCAATTCAATGCAATATAGTGTCCTTCAGAATTACAGCTTAAAACTGAATACCACTAATTCAAGTTTTTTGTTGCTTCAATATACATTTGTAAAAGGTTTGTGGCTAATATGCGCTGACTAAAATACATTGAAAGACAACTTTTAATGTACATGTAGTTATGGGATAAGGATGTTTCTGACTTTTTAAAGTTATTTTATTCCAATAGCTATGGGATTAGGGTGTTTCTGACTTTTTAAAGTTATTTTATTCCAATAGCTAGGGATTAGGGTGTTTCTGACTTAAAAGGGATGTTTCTTGCTGGATATATCGAATGTACATGAGCGCTTACAGATTGTACCACAAAGCATTATGCTCAAGAAGGTAGATATTATTAGTTGGTGATGTATTTTAGTACTTATATAGTATGTACAAAAAAAAAGAGACTCACATTAGATAACCATAACACGAGTTTCTTACACATATTTAGGATTTGCCAAAAGGGTTCGCCACCAGTAACTACTCACATCACATCCAACGTACTGTTAGCGATATGCATTTATAAACCACAGCTACTATGTCATATAACCTGTATTTTAACACATATATATGATTTACTACTGTACGTAAGGGAGAGCAATTATATCTTCTGTGACATCCACTCAGCTAACAAGGCAAGAGTCACTGTACAAGTACTTCAAGCGATATCCACTCCTTAAATTCTCCATAGCTGTCTCATTACTTTCAAAACCCACTCTGTTAGGGTCTGCCACCAGTAACCACCCATGCTGTCACATGTCAACATGGAGCATGATAAAACAATTCACAATAACTTCTCCCATGGCAGTCCCATTTTTCCCACTTTAAAAACAGAAATATTTGAAATCTGTTCATGGACGAGTCAAATCAACAATATTCCCTGCAATAATTCTGGAACCCTTTTTTAAAATACAAGTTTCAAACGTAACAAATATTAGAACAATGGTGACACACGTAACAATCTTGTCGTTATGTCACCGACATTAGTATTATATACAGCAAACCATTGGCACTGTAGCATTGTTTATTTTGAACAACGTATAGAAATAGTATATGATATATAATATATATATATAACACGCACAATAAACGCCAGGATAGACTATTGATGAACTAATTAAGTAAAACATAATGAAATATAACAGTATTTCTCTAGTAATGTAATGTATTTAACCTCTCCAATAACAATGAATTCACTTCACGAAAGAAATGGGTAGTATAACAACTATAGTAGTTCTTTAAATGTACTAACAGTTTATTATCAACACTATGATTTTATAATCCCTACCAATGGATGAATTATTTGAACAATGTGTATAAAATGTACCATATTTTTTACCCAATTGTGTGGTACAATGTCTCCATGGATACTATCATCCCGTGCTGCTGCCCTATTTACAATCAATCACCTGCAGTAGTATATTTTCACCACGATTATCGGACAAGCATGCAAATATAACAATATGCACTTTTTTTTTAAAAAAAGAGAAAACATTAAAATTCTATATTTTCTAATTTCCTATATAATCATCGAACCGTTCCACGCCCACCTGGCTGCGAACCCGAATCAAAGTTAAAGTCTAAGTTACCTTCTAGTGTCAGTTCCTGTTTTATTATAGAATCTACATCGTAATCTAATCCTGCGATAAGAGAATCAATGTCTATATCAAGTCCCGCATTTGGATTGCCCGGGTGGCCATGGCCAGTGTTGCCCGTCTGCTGCTGAGGAACTTGGTTGTAATCCCCCTGCATGAGGTCTTGATCTGACAATAATTGCTGTTGGCCCTGTCTGGTGACCCCATGGTTCATCATGTTAGCGTTAATGGAAGTAACCTGCCCGTTCATATTCGGGAACGCGTTCACAGTGTTGGTGAACGACTGTTGAAACTGCTGGGTATTGTTGGAGGAAGTTGTCGGTTGCTGGTAGCCCGCGGGACCCTGCGTCAAGGCAGCTCTTAGGATGGAGTCGTTGTTAGACTGTTGTAAATGTTGCTGTAGAGCGGTCAATGTACGGGCACTCGGTCCACCATTTCCCACTACACCTCCGATGTGTTGGGGAGACAACTGACGTCCTTGTGGTGAGATCTGCCGTGCTTGAGGAGAACCCTGACAATTCTGGTTGGGCAGCGGTTGAAGTGGACTGAGGCGATTTGGGAAGCTTTGAGGACTACCTTGTGCTGGAGATCTAACAGGAGAGTTTAATTGTTGGGTTGTCACGGTCAAAGGGCTCTGGCCGTTAACATTAGGACTCAGGCCATTCTCTTGAAACAAATCTTGTCTCCTGTACACAGGTGGCGTTGCTCTCTGCATGAAAGTATTACCATTGGTTACTGGACTTCTATCCAGATTAGTTAGAACATTTGTTCGATCTGGGTAAGGAGGAGGGGCTGGTAAGGTGTTAAATTGGTTATCAAAGTTCGAGCTATTAAAATTAGTATTTTGATTGAAATCAGGCAAATTCATGTCGCCACTATTAGAGTTACTGGGTAAAAACTGATCACTCATGTCCATAGAATCTGCTATATTTAGGCCTCCTGTGTCACCAAGTTTCATACCATCGACAAGAGAATCTACTAACTGATCCGTAAATCCATCGCCGGAATTATATCCAAATCCATTTTCTATTTCCGTGGCCCATGGTATTGGTGACATTGGTGGAACCTGGTTATCGTGGAGGTCGGATTCAAGACCAGCCTGAATTGGAGACAAGCGTCCCCCACAACTACTGGCGTTGGAACTAGCACGGGGTCGAAAATCACTTAACGAGAACGGATAAGCAGGGTCCAAGAAATCCTCAGTAGTAGACGTAGGACTGTTACTATTTTCTAATGCAGCACGTAAAGCCTCAACCTTTTTCTTAATACGGCCTCGTTTTTTTTCATAACTTTTTGTTTCCATACTTCCAGCTCTACGTCTAGGTGTTTTACCGGGTTTTGCATCAGGGTTGATAACCCACCATGAACTTTTTCCCGTACCCTCATTCTGGATTCTCATAAAACGACTGTGTAGTGACAAGTTGTGACGAATGGAATTCTGAAAAATATAAATAATAGCAGTTATTAAAAAAAATATTTTTTGAGGAAATAAAACTAGGCAGTAAAAATACTTTTTGCGACCTACCAGGATAAGCAAGACGGCATAAACCACACAGAGTGCTATAAGGAAATTTTGCGCAACTAGCAATGGCATTCAAGAGTTCTTTTAACTGAACTGTTGTTCCTTGTTAGGCCCTCGGTTGTGCATCAATGAACCACATCAAACCCTAGACCTGGTTAGTTAGCCGGTGCTTTACCCACTGCAGCTCTCCAATCTAGCAAGTTTAGAGCAAAATTAGGTGACAATAAAATATACAAAAAAAGATTTTCAAAAAATTATTACGTATACACATATAATAATGGACTAAGTCACATGTATCATGATTCAGCACTTTTGTATCAAAACTATTGTTACAAAGCCAAGGATCAGCTCACATTGAGAGGACAAGCTCTTACAGACTTAAAAATCTCTGGTTGTTATTTGAGAGATTTGTTTTATTTAAATTTAAAATAATCAATTTGAGAAGATTTACAGTGAATTAAGCCATGAAAAATTAGATACTATCAGAAAAATACAAATGACGGTTAAGCCAGGTCTAGCTCAGTACCATTGCCATGTTTTCTCCATCATTGTTATTTAAATCAATATGTTTCCAACCCTCCTACAGAGATCATCTTTAAATAGTCATTGTAGGTCATATAAAACTTCCTTATATGTCTGCAACAACATATAGTTTATAATAAGCTAGTTTAAAATCTGATTCAATTTTAACACAGGGATACTAGGCAGAAATTAAGAGATCATGGGTACAACAATATACCATTTACATATTACTACTAGTACTAGTACAAAATAATGGACTAATTAATATGTCATTTCAACTCTACACTTGTATGTGTCATAAGGTAAAGTCACCTGTCTAACCTCATGGGCTTTCTCCGGGTCCTCCAGTTTTTTCCTACAGCTCAAACCCTTACTCACATGCGGATTATTGAAATAAAATGACCTAGTTTATGTTGAGCGTACATTAAACGCCATCTTTCTCTCTCTTAAATTAACAAGTCCATATAAACCCTATTCGATGTACATAAAAGATGTAGCAAGTTAGGCTGGTAATAAATCTATAATCATACAGGACGATCACACAGTAGAACAGCCACAGCCTTCTAAACGGGTCTCCTAACACAAAATTTATAATTAAAAAGATTTTTATCTTGGGATGAGATGAGCAGACAGAAATGAATGTGCTTGGATCAATAGCATCAATAATGGTTTTTCTGTTCAATGTAACTAGATAATACAGATGGGATATCGAAGACAACTTACATGCAGGGAAACAAGGAGAAAGACCTCTAATACACTGCTGTAATCTAAGCTTATAAATATATTGGATGGAATAGATATCTGGATTTAGAATAGAATGGGGTTCTAGAATTCAATCCTACTTGCATATGCATCTAGGCCAGGGATGGTCAACCTCCGGTTCAGCCCCCAAACGTTGTGTATTGGATGATTAGAAATGGTGCATCACATGATAATAATAAAGTACATGTAAGGCAGTACGCAAGTAAGCCTACTCATTATTTTTTAGTGAATGTTATCTTCTTTCTATATATATCGATTCCTATGAGTAATGCAGTGTTGTGGAAATCGCACCAGGTTTGTGCAATGCTATGGTTGCGTCACTTGATGTACATGTTGAGTAATAGATAAGCTGCATCCGCATGGAATCACCCTACGGCTTACGCCAGAATAATGAACACCCATGTGGTACCGGCTTAATAAAGTTATATTTACAAAACGTAGATGGGGATACAAGAGTAACTTGGCACATCTGAATTAGTGTGTGAACAAATTACCGCATGGTATGTAAAAGGTTGGCCAGTCCTGATATAGGCCACTAAGAGTTGAACATTAAACACTGTAACCCAGGTATCATTTAATCTTGTGTATCTAGCACTAATTTCTTTCACATTTGTTTAATATTCAATCTGTGTTTAAAAATTCGTAAAAACTGTTTAAAATCACTTATGTCCAGTTTAAAGCTGACCATTCAATTTTGATAATGAGGGTCCAATTTACAAGCACAAATCCCGAGATTCACAATCCATGCCGAGCAAGATGTCTTCCTTCGCCATGTGGTTTATTATTACAAAGGAAACTTACTGGACCTGTTATGAATAACCAGATTGAGAGACCAATATGGGCTTTTAATCCAGCGAATGAATTAATATCATGTATTAATTAGGGCTGTGGATACGTTCAGTTTCGATATGATACGTATTGACAATAAAGCAAATACACAATACGGTTACATCACGAATTACATGTATGTCCAAAATAGTCTCAAATTACATTCTGTTTCAAGGCATTTGAGATAGGTAAGCATGTTTGTTGTTTCCCTCAGAGGTTGCCACCTCTGCCTTACACAGGGCTTTATTATTTTCTTCTGATAAAAAATGAAGCCGAACCTTTGATGTATTTTCACCGGACATCGTACCAGATGAAGGAAGATCCATGCACAGAACAAATCGTTTGCAACAAAGACAGAGATGGCGAATCAAACAAATTAATAATTTAATAGTTATTTTGAACCTATTAATATGTTTCAGGGTCTTTCTTAACTGAAAAACATATTTTTTCAACAATACAGCGAAATAGCCATATTCTGTTTCAAATCACCAGAACGAATCGATACATATTGGTGGAACGATATATTGTCAAAGCCCTAGTATTAATAATAAACAACAATAGAAACTCATAACATTATACTAACGTGAGTTACCAATATGGGCCTTTAATCCATGTCATGAGTTATAATTATATTATATGTATCATGTATTAATAATAAACAATAGAAAACTCATGACATGAATAACATTATACTAACATCAGAAACCAAAATAAAGTAGAAGTGGGGCTTTAATCAATGTATTAATAATAAACAACAATAGAAAACTCATGAATAACATTATACTTGGCTACTTAGTTACATATTAACACAAACGACATCAGCTATTGCTAGCTGCCAGATTTAGCATCAAGAATTTAGGCCAAATAGGTAGTTAAGAGTCATACCTTGGAGCCTTGCCAACTATAACTTCATTTAGACAGAATTGTATACACACTTACATATATACATGTACATACATATTGGTCCACATGATGGTGGGTTTTGCAGAATCATACATGTACATGTACATGTACTTGTTAAAAAATTTTGTTGCAAGAGCACCATGAAACTCTTTCAAAAAATTTGCCTGGGAAACATAAAACCCTTTTCTTAAGAGCTGAAATGGGCTTATGAAGATGTGCTATGAGTATGAGAGAACTTTTCAATGCTGAGTGCCATTTCCAGATTTCTTGTACTACCATTATTCATTGAATTCTGTCTGCCAAGGGTTCTAAACATGTACATGAACACCAATGCCTACACAGGACCTGGGTTTTTCATCCCATCCAAATAACTGACACTTATCAATGCCAGACGCTCTATTATTATGGTACTTTTTATAGCCCATCTTTCACATAAGTGCCCGATGTGCTTAACAATAAAAAATAAATAAATAAAATTAAAAATTGTACATGGATTTAAAAGTTAAAAGTAAAGTTTTATAGTCAATTTGATAGGGCACAGGTAACCAGTGGAATTTTTACTAGTATTTCAGTAATATGACAGTAGTGGGTGTGTCATAAGTCTAGTAGGAGAGTTTTGTAGAGACTGAAGTTAGTTAAGAAGTTTCTTTGGAACACCAGTAAGTAAAGAGTTGAAGCCAAGGTGTCGAGTCTAGCAGTGACAAGGGCTTGAACTGAGGTCTTGATTGTATCATCAAGTAGATAGTTTCTAACTTTACTGATTTTGCAAAGTGGAAACGTCCTGAAAGATTTTGAGGAATTTTCTCGGCAACCAGGAGCCTCCTGGTTAGTGATCTTGCTCTTTCCTTACTGGAAAAACTAAAAACTAATAGGCTTCTTCGTCTCATGACCTTTAACAGTGTGTATAAATTTAAAGTCAATTAGGTATTAATTTTAGCCTCTAGAGCATCCACAAGACATTTCAAAGTATTAAGGGCCATAACTCTGGCAGTAATTATTGGAAATCATTAAAAAATCAATAGGATTCTTCATATGACCATACAATATATTTTCAAAGTGATCAAGGGCCATACATGTATCTCTGGCAGTAATTACCGGATATTGTTGAAAAGCATTAGGCTTCTTCATTTCATGACCTTTTACACTGGGTATGAATTTTGAGTCAATAATAAATTAACTTTAGCCTCTAGAACATCCACAAAACATTTCAAAGCGATCAAGGACCATAAACCCTGGCAAAATCAATAGGCTTCTTGACCGTAAACACTGTGTATAAATTTAAAGTCAATTGGATAATAACTTATATAAGATATTTCAAAGTGATCAAGGGCTGTAACTGTGGCAGTAATAATCAGAATTTGTTGAAAATCAATAGGCTTCTTCGTCTCATGACCTTAAACACTGTGTATAAATTCAAAGTCAATCAAATATTAACTTAGTCTCTGAAGCATCCACAAGCAATTGTGGATGCTGGACATGGGCGACGGCAATGGGTACAAATATTAGATTTTGTCAAAAAAAAACCAATAGGCTTCTTCGTCTCATGACCTTTTACACTGAGTATAAATTTAGAGTCAATCAAATATTAACTTTAGTCTCTGAAGCATCCACAAGCAATTGTGGACGCCGGACATGGGCGACAGCAATGGGTACAAAAATTAGATATTGTCAAAAAAAAAATGCATGATCCGGATGTGTGTAACCCCCACCCCTCCACTGTTGATTGAAATGTCATGCATACTTTTAAAACATGAAAGCTTATTGAGAGATGAATCAAGTACAGTTCCGTTAAACTTTTACATCAACATAGAAAATGTCACAAACTATTTTTACCTTAACCTTTTAATACAGGTATTTTTACGTGAAAAAAGTTTACCGAATACCAAGAGAGTGATTGAAAA